AAACCAGGGTCTTCTTGCAGTTGACTGCAGCAGAAAGAACATGACTGTGATCTAATTCTTTTTCTTACCTTCCACTTAGAAAAGCCATGCTTATTTTGGAGGATTTAAATCTCCTTTTAAAAATAGAAGTAATAATCTGTAAATCCAAGTTTAAACCACAGAAATCTTGTGTGCAAGTCCAAACCATAGTACTTTGTATGTTTTGCCTCCTTTTTTTGCCACTCGGTTTACTTAGTCTGGAAGAAAAAGTCATGTGTGAGTACACGCAAGCTAATTATTCTATGGGTCTTCTCAACAGTTTACGCACCATGTACGAACCAGTAGGTTTGCACTACATTTAGAAACATGACAAAAATGGTTTTTTTTAGTTGGAGTTATGCTTCTTCCTCACAGTATTGTATGTAAACAGTATTACGTAAACACTGTATTGCCTTTAATAATTGAATATTGTCAGTTCTAATACACATGCAACTGGAATATTCTATCTACCCTTGCTTCTTATCTTTGCATGTGTACACGTGCAGCCACACTTTAAGAGTTTACCTGCTTCTAGAGACCTGTCTCTCAAATCTCAACCATCAGCCAGTCCAAACTTATGTAAACATCTTGGGATTCAAACAAACTCAATGACAACCATTGCCGATTAAGCCAAACCTATACAAAGGCAAAGTAAATTGAACCAGGTACACTAAGGTAAAGATAAGATAGAAGCTGATTATCTTGCATGGCAACAAAGGAGAACTGCCATACCAGAACAGACCAATAGTCCATCGGTTTCCAAATTGCTCCCTCTGGTAACAGCCAACATTTCAAAGAATTTAGGGTGTCAACATGCAGCATTTGTTGCCAGAAGTCTTTGCTTGCCATACTGAGAGTGAGAGAAATCACCAGAAAGCTCACAACACAACTTCCTTCAGACACTTTTTAAGATGTTTTACTCTAAACTACTTAAAAGAAGGTGAGCAGCTCTTCTCTCACACACTTAAATATAAAATAATTTTAAGTATCAGAAGACTTCACTTACTCTTTCAGTAATCTCCAACACTGGAACAGTCCCAGGATTTCAGCAGGCCACTATGAGGACAGAATATAAGCTTCTATTGTCCTTCTACTTCTCTTCACAATCACAACTTAAAAACTCAATTCCGTAAGGCCACAGAACATTTCACCTCTCAAAGGCACTACCCCAAGGTGCACTACTATGATAAGTGCGATAAGATGCCCTAGCTCTCAAGGTCATTGAGAACAGTGGCACTTAGTCTTTTCCTCACCACTGACAGCCACGGGTGGTTTGATGGTTCTGGCAGGACATTATCATACATGCAGCCATAACACATGAATGAAAATTAAATTTAATACAACATCAAACCAAGTCAGGTAGCTGAAATAAAAGGTTATCATCTCTGCTAATATTTTAAAGCAGCTTTCTTGAGTGGTAAATTTATAGCCAAATCCCCATTCCTTCTCACCATAGAGACTATTTCCACCGCCTATAAAAATCTAGTATAAATGAGGTACAATAATTCAGTTCTTGAATTCAAGTCTCACTTGAGATGTTTCTGCTCTTTTGTCTGAGCAAATGAAGACAAATCTCAGAAGAGACCTGTGCAGAATTCAGCTGGTTTAATCAGCGACTGTGATATCCAGTTATCCTGGATTATTAAAAACATCAGCAAGAGAGAAAAAAATAGACATTCTGCAACTTGGAAAACAGGTATTTTAGATGCCTTTTGAAAGAAAGTAAGTATTCAGAAGTAAACAAGTCATTTTCCTTATCAAGTACAGCAACCCTATATGACTGTGCAAGATATCCAGATTCCATCCTTTAGATAAAGGGGTATATAAGGGGCACACCAGAACATACAATAATCAATATGAAAGAAACATACCAACACAGATTCTGTGGATTAAAGCTTGGTGTTTGACTTCCCTTTTCTAAACATTATGAAACTGAGAAAAATCAGTTGAGCATTAGTTCTTAGCTATTAGTATTCTAGATACCACTGGCTAAGACTCCTGAGCAGGAAAAGGGTGTGACAGGCAATCAGTAGATGTAGGTCTTATCGCATGATAAACAGTGTTTCAACAACCAGCCAGAGATACAGGTCCAGAACAAGTTACATTCTCTATTCCGGGAGTTGCTTCTAAATTTAATCATTTCAGCATGTAGTTAAGAACACAGCCACACGCTTGGCACAATGTGGAACAGTGCAATAGATCCAAAATGAAGATGCCCTCAGTGCTGGTTGCTTCCATCTTTGGGCTAGATCTTGGCCAGGACCTCCTATAGAGCTTTGGTCTTTATGCCCCGATTTAATACCACTCCTGTTCCCTCTCAATCTTTAAGACATTGACCAAGACCACCCAAGCAGCTGAAAGCCCCCAGAATAAAGCAGGAGGTAACTATAAGAAGGAATCACAAAAAGATTGCAGATAAATTACATCAGTCTCTTCAAGATCATTTCAGCAGAAGAAACAATCAGGGTCCTTGCACATCACAAGGTAAAACCCAGCATAGCACTCTAAAAATGTCTGTTCGTATGCTGACAACAAAATAGCCAATATATTTCCTCCCAAGGGAGAGAAGCACACACATGCCAGGGGTGGGAAGTGTATTATAGCTCTGAGTCCTTCATAGCTCTGCAGCTTATCACTTGTGACCAAGTGCTGGCAAAAAGCTAGCAAACCACATGCAAAAATCAGGTCCCACGCCTCCGTCAGAGCAGAAGCTGAGACACACCAACTTCTCTGGGTCAGACAAACTGTCTGCCTTACCAGTTGAGTTTAGTAACTAACGTCTGCTTCATAGCAACTATTAATCCACCCATACTAAGCATCTGACTGGCAGGGGCTGTAATACAAGAGAGCATTCCATGGTGCAGCAGAAAGAAAGCATTCCTGGAAGTTGCTTTGGGAGCTCAGAAAGAAAGGGAGTTGAGAGAGGTATGGACCAAAGATCAGTAACCTAAAACATTTATCAGGCACAAAAAAAGCAGACTTATCTACCACAGAAATACAGAGAAGTTGGGATGGCTGAGAACAGCATAGACTCAATTCCCTCTGCTGGTGGAAAAAGCGAGGCTACCTAAAAACACACACAGTACTTGCAGATTGCCCTGCAAGAAACATAGCAGGGTGTTAGTACCTTCTTCTGTCTCTTAAGAATCCTAAGGAATTTGTACAATGCTTACTAAGAGGCTTGAGAATATTTATGCCATTGTCATTCACCATTTCATCAGAAGAATGAAGGCAGAGAAACACTGGGGCTAAAGCTTACAACATGGGTGTGTATTGGTGGACAGACAAGCAATGCCTTCCTGTATGTATTATAACCTCTTTCCTAAAGTAGCATTACAAAATCTGAATTCTTGCATGAACAGTATTAATCCAGACTGCTAATGCTTGGAAAAAACAAAACAAACAAAAAAATAAATCATACGGGAATCTTAGGTCCCTTACATAAAGGGACCTAACAGGTTTTTTTTTTTCCTAGGCCCACTGTCAGGGTGTAGAGAAGATTGGTTAAGATACTGCACACAATTTACTGTCCCTTCTATACAAAATTTGAGATACCTGAAAAAGGTCAGAAATCTTAAAAGATGACTGCCTAAAACTCCTTTACGGGGTGGGGAGGTGGGGGGAAGAATTCATATTCCTGGAAGTGTTTTACCAAGTTGTTCAACCACAAGTATTAGATCCTTCATAATTTTGGTCATTAACTGTTTTGACATCTAATAGCATTATCATAAACCTAAGGAGAACGGAGCCCACAATTATCTCAGCAGCTGCACACAGTCATCTCCCAATTAAATCCATTCAGATGACAGCTGTTTTCCCTCCACTAAAACAAAGGTGGTACCACTTACCCAACTACCTAAAAATTCCAGAATCCTCAAATGTGGAATAAAATCCTACAAACCTGATTGACTTAAAATCATAATTCAATAATTAGATCATAAACCCCGATTTTTATCGGTCTTCTGTATTAGGATTTTGACCACAAAACCTTTAGCTGTTGTAATAAAGATATTGAAATAAGTGTATTTCTGTGTGCAGATCTCTTTACCTCTAGCTGTTGTAATAAGGATATTGAAATAAGTGTATTTCTGTGTGCAGAGGCATTAAATAAACAGACATCATGATTCTGCCTGACCTTATTACCTACCTTCAAAACATGCAAATTGCTCAAGGGTCACACAAGCTTTTGACAACATCTCTATTAAAAAGCATTTAGCATGGAGGCACTTGTTGAGATCCTTATTCACCACAAACGTGCCACACGTGGCTCAGAGTTGATGCTGTGCTCCACAGTGAACATTTTACCCAGAGAAGTCCTCAACTTGCCTGCAGCTTAGTGGCTTTAACATCCTCCAAACGTCATCGTCCTCCTTCCTCTCTAAAAACAACTGCAATAGCATGCACACCTGATAGGACAAGGAGTTAGAGCAAGGGGCAGCAAGAGGCAAGGAAAAGGAGCATCAACTCTTTTCCTCCTCCCAACAGGGCTGCGACACCGAGAACACACCGAGTCAGTCAGAAATTGTGCAGTGAGCTGAAAAATCAGGAGTCACTGCTTTAAAAATTACTAATGAAAGGACAACACTGTTACCTACTTAATTTCCACGCTCAGAATTAATAAGAAATTTCCACTCCCAGAGTAACTTTCCAAAGACCACTGCCTGCAGCCAGCTCCTGAACCGAAATACACCCATTCCCGTTTAAAAGAAGATGAAACTTTCCCCTGAGGTGCACATTTTTGTTTTCTCCCGCTTCACACCTGTGGAAAAAAACACCACCGTGTTTGGGAAGAGGTTCAAGCTTCGAGTGGTTCCGGGGAGCTCCGGGGCTGGGGCTGCGGCGGGACGAGCCCCGGGCGGGACGGGAGGCAGCGGGACGAGCACGCCGCAGGGACCAGCCCCGAGCTCGACAGGACGAGCCGCTGTAGCCGCAGCCCTGAGACGGAACAGGTGGACCCGGAGGGGAACGAGGCGAGTACTCACACGGTGAAGTGGTACACAAAGCACTTCCATCCCGTGGGACGCTCCAAGAAGTTGTACACCCTGCCCTGGACGCTGCTGCGGCTCAGCAGGGGCTGGCAGAGGCTGTAGATGGAGAC